CATGCCGTGAATTGATGCGAAAACTTTATGACGCAGAGATACTGGCACGTATGGCCGAATTGTTCCTGTAGACACATCGCAGAACAAAGAATTTTTGTCGTTGAAAACAATTGCTTGCAGTTTCAAAGATGTTTCCTCGTGCAACAGCGTTTTTAACTCTTGATCGTTTTGTTGTTTTTCTGCAACGGTTGATAAACTGACAGCAGTTGGCAGCGATACAGCTGAAATGCGGGAAAGAGCATCTGCCACAGCATTGTCACTTCCAGATAGGTATACAATGGTTGTTGAAAATTGGGAAATATAATCGAGATGGCGGAGCTGTCGTGGTGACGCCTTCTCTGGTTTCTGTTTGAAAGCATATATCAGCGGTTTGTGGTCCGTTTTAATGACGAAAACTCGTGCCTCTAGGAGGTGTTTGAAAAAACGAATGGCGCTGTAGATTGCTAATATTCTCTATCATATGCGCAGTAATTTTTTTCAGTTGCTGAGAGTTTTCTCGAAAAAAATCCGAGTGGTGCCCAAGTGCCCTGGTCAGCATCAGGTGCTGGATGTGCAATTAGTGCAGCATTCGCAACGCTGTGTTTACAGTTATTGAACGCATCGAGACTTTCGGGAGTTCAAGAGATTTTTCGTTTGTCATTTTTTTTGATGTTTCGTACCAGATCACTAAGCTGTGCTTGATGTTGCGATAAGTGTGGTATACAACGCCGGTAGTAATTCAGAACACCTAGAAACCGTGCTAGGTCACTGACTGTGTCAGGCTGTTTGTAATTCACCATTGCTTCAATGCGGTCCTGTGGTGGTTTAATGCCATTCTTGCTGACCGTGTAGCCCAGAAAAAGAATTTCCGATTTACCAAATTGACATTTGTTGACATTTATCCTGAGTCTACATATGTTGGCGCAAAATGGTAAACACTGTTCGAAGATGACGTTCATGTTCCTCTATGGACGTTGAAGCTATTAGAATGTCGTCAATATAGCAATACACGAAATCAAGGCCTCCAAAAATTTGGTCCATGAAACGTTGGAATGTCTGCGTGGCGTTTTTCAATCCGAACGGCATTTACTGGAACTCAATCAGGCCAAGAGGTGTGCTCACAGCAGTTTTTTGAATGTCATCCTCTGCCATTGGGATTTGGTAATATGCTTTCACCAAGTCGAGTGCTGAAAACAGCGTTTTGTTGTGTAACTTTTCCGCAAAATCATGCACATGAGCGATAGGATACCTGTCCGGTATCGTTATTGCGTTCAATTTTCGATAGTCGCCACAAGCACGCCAGCCACCATTATTTTTCGCCACCATGTGTAGGGGACTTGCCCATGGACTTTTTGACAAACGGCAAATACCTTGGTCCAGCAATAGAGTGATTTCGGCTTTTGCCACAGCAAGTTTCTGTCCAGATAACCTTCTGGGACGATCAAATACAATGTTGCCTCTTGTCTCAATTTGATGAGTCACCCCATGCTTTTGAGTGTCGTGAAGTGACTGTTTCAACACTGGTCGTGTAATATCAACGAATTCTTTGAGCAGATTGCTGAACTTGGCTGTCTCATCTATTGTGGATATGGTTGATGGCGGAGAAGCTGAAAGATCACCCCGTGTGTTAAGCTTCGTCGTCATGTCTATAAGCTGTTTGCTTCTCAGATCAACTAACAAATGAAAATGGTTTAAGAAATCAGCACCAATAATAGCAACTTCGACATCAGCGATGATAAATTGCCACCTAAATGATCTCCGTAAACCTAGGTCTAATTCCATTGTGTTGTTGCCAAAAGTGGTAATGAGAGTTCGGTTCGCTGCGTATAGTTGGAGCTCTTCTTGTGTTGTTTTGAATTTCACCAAATGCCGTGGCACTACTGATACAACTGAGCCCGAGTCAACCAAAAAACGAAAACATGATTTGCGATCGACGACAAAAAGAGGTTCACTATTTATGAGTGGTTGTTTTTCTGCTACTGGTGAATCACTGGTTATGTGGTCAAGTTGTTTGCTACTGCCGTCAACCAGTGTGTATGACAACAGCTTTTTTAGTTTAAAGGTGCCCATCGTGAGCAGCTTGGCTTGCACTTGGTGGCACCGTCCCCAAACTTGGTGTGATAGTAACACAATTTGCCATGATTCGCTGTTGACAGTTGACATCGCTTACACTTTTGGGTGAGCGCGATCGAGAAGCGTTGCGACTCGTGATTGGTTTCCTGAGTTGGCTAACTTCAACTTGCAGCTTTTTAGCCTGGCCGGTCAGTTGTTGAACAGCTGTGTACAAATCATTATGTGCTGTGCTGCACACAGTTGTCGTGGCCTGCTTAGCCTGTGGCGATACTTCACACATGTACATTGCGTTTGTTGTTGAAGCCTCCAGCATCTTATCAGCTAACTTGGCAAGTTTATTTAGATCATCCTCTTCCCAAATTGCCAATACCGGACGAATCGATTTGGGCATTTCGCTGAGAAAAAGCGTACGAATAATTTGTTCGCTATTTGGATCCGGTGCAAGACGTCTCATGTTCGAAAGTATTTCCGACGGCTTCATACCCGTAGTATCTCCACCTTGTAGTAGGCGCCGCAACTTGGATTCGGCTGATTCCGCAAATTTCCCCAACAAACGTGCCTTGAGTGTTTCATATTTATTGTTCGTTGGCGGATTTGTAATTAGATCTTCAGCAACCATCACAATGTCTTCATCTAAATTTACTGCCACCCAATCGAATTTGTCTGTGTCTTCTCGAATATTATTTAAACGAAAGACTCGTTCCAGTTGCGCGAACCATACTGATGGGTTGGTTTTATTGAAGTTCGGGACTTTCACATTGTGTCTCATGTTCATCTCAGTGGAGTCTACTTGTGGATTTACAGTTTGTTCTGCATTTACAGCCATGTTGTCGTGTGCCTGTCTGGAACGCAGCTTGCTCGTGTACTCTTTCATAAGATGCACTGCTTTGTAGTGTTTTTGCTCGATTTTCCAACGGAATCACCACCTTAGCTGTTCCAAGTACTCTTGTTCTGCAACTTGTGATGACGATGTGCGTGTTGGATAAGCCCGTTAATAGTTTTAGCGAATGTTGTTTAGCGTTTCTAAAACTAATGTTACTTTGCCCTTTTTTTCTTTTAAAAAATTAGTTCTGTAAGTTTTTTTACTTTGCGCGTCGGGGTCACCACTTTAGTCGTTTCTTTTGACTATTTTATTTAACATACACTATTATTCAAAACTACTTTTTACAAACTACAAAATTATACAAGTTTACACTAGGAAAATTAACCATCAACTAACTGTTGTTATCAATTGCCTCTCATCCTTTTATTTGTTGTTAAGGTGACCAGTTTATGTGCTTTTATCTTTTCAGCATTGCCAGGTGTCTTTTTCCTTCAAGAATGACAATTGGATATTTTCTGGGTTGCCATCTTTGTTGTACTGTCGCCACATATGTAAACGTAGCTCTTGGTTTTTTATGCTGTTGATTGTTGCTCTTACATTTGCCAAATTCGCACGGTTGGCTACATTTGGTCGCTGCTACCCCAAATTTTATGTGGTAGTAACAGATCTTCTCACGTTTGCAAGAACTGCTGCGGCTGTTGTCTCTACCACGACTGTCTCGTTTTTCCAATCTGTCTAAAGTCGCTGATATTTTGACTAGCTGCTGTCTTAGTTGTTGGATCGAACTTTCTAAGGTTGTTACCAGCGATTCTAATACGTCATTCGATTTGTTGGCGTTTGTAGTCATTACGAAAGACGGTACTGGACTGTTGTCTAATATTCTATCAGCTATTTCTGCTAGCTCATCTATACTTGTGGTTTTGCATGCTGATAGAATGCATCTTACATTGTTTGGCATACGTTGCAGCCACAGTGTTGTTAACGCCTCCTCTGAGACATTTGCGCCTACTAACGTGCGCATTTCACGTACCAGTTGGCTTGGTTTTTTGTTCGAAAGTTCCAAACCGGTGAGTAGCTTTATGAGCTGCTTTTCTGACGACTCTGAAAAACGAGAAATTAGTTCTTTCTTTAATTTGTCGTATTTGCCTGTTTCAGGAGGATTTTTTGCAATATCCGCAACTTGTTGCAGCGTTTCTGCATCCAGCGTAGTAATTACTGTATAAAACTTTGATAAATCTGCTGTGACTCGGCTCATATGCAGTAGGCCTTCAATTTGTGCAAACCATAAAGTTGGGTCCTTGGTTAAAAAGTTTGGCAACTTCATTTGCCCAATCGCTTGCACTGCCGACGCTTCCGCTTCCATAGGCTGGAATTTATTTGTCTCTGCGGGAGTCTCTGCATGTTCAGTTTCGCCAGTTTTCTGCATTTTGCGTTTTTTTTCTTGAAGTTTTTTGTAGGGGTCACCAATTTATGGCTATTTACCATAAGTTTATACAAATTAAAAAACACACTTTTTGATTGCTGATTGACTATTTTATTTCTACTTAGCGTGTACTTCAAGTTGGTTGCTGATTCATACATAAAAAGATCATTTTTGGTTTTACTTTGCCGGTAGATGGCAAAGTGAACGCCACATTATCTTATTAACAGCTCCATCTATCGGATTCTAAACTATTCATTCTTTCAAGAGGGAATGAATCATACATAGTTACAAATCTCTATAACTTATATAAAATATGTACATAAGTAAAAATAGCAGAAATAAAAATCAAGTTTTCAACAGTTTTTCAATACATTTATGGAATATTGAAGCTACAATATTAAGGACCAATATTAAGGGCTGATTTGACACTCAATTTGCATATTATTCATGAAATTTTAAGTTATATTTTGCGACCAAGAACCAAGCATATAAATAAGAGAATAAGAACCCAAAATTTCCAATTAAATTAAAAATCTTATATATCGGAACATTAGGTTTGATCTTACTGTTTCATGGACTATTTTAAAGACCTGCAAGAGTTTTGTTATTTAGTTATTTAGATATATTACATATATAAATTGTATATAAAGTTAAACCTAAATAATAAACTTTCTTTAATTTTTATATACAGAAGTGGTTTAGTTGTATTCATAAAATTTTTTATTTCAATATATCAATTAAAGTAATTGTATTGCACACCGCCAATATGCGGCATACCTACTCCAGTTGGAACATATGTTGTGGCGGGAGTACATTTCATGCAATTTCGTTTAAGAGCCGGCCTCTGCTTAGAAGCATGACATTGCATTGCAAATCGTAGTTCCTCCGCCATTTCAGAACACAATGATTGGTTTTCATTTTGTACATGTTTTTTTGAATTCCAGCAAAATTCAAGAATTGCAACGACTACCGATAGAGCCAGACCACAAAGTAAAACGACGAAAACACCACCTTTAAAACAAAAGTAAGATTAAATTTTTTTATATATTTGATTAAATATAATTACCGATATTTTCTACACCTAATGCATTCGCTTTCGATTCCTTGTTTTTATCGTCACGATTACAAACATCTCCAGTGTTTTTCCACCATTTGTCATAAAGAATTTGTATTATACCTTTTTCTTGCAATTCTAAAATTGCAAGAGACATTGGATCTCGCCATTGGGAGCCCTTTGGGGTGGCAATGCCTAAAAAAAATTTATTGCATCATAGTTATATGGTATAAGTTTAAATGGGTTAGGAATAATCCGACATTAGTTTATTTTTATAAAAAATAAATGTTTTTAATCACATTTTAATTAGATTTGTTGTCGAAGGCAATTAACAATATTTCGACAAATTCATAAACATGTAGGTAAGTAGTAATATACAAATTTATTATCAGGCTTATAAGAATTACGGTATGTAGTCCTTGACCACAGAACTTTTTACACTCTTAATATTTAAGTTTATTGGTAAAACGATAACAACTCAAAACAATGTGTCACTAAAAAAGACAGGGATTGAATAAGAATATATGGTATGAAGAAACATGACCGTTGTAGAAGTTCATTAATATAGAGTGACAAAAAACTTTGAAGACAACTATGTTATATTCAAGGACAAGAAAATGGAAGAATCTTTCAACAACATAAATGAAAATTCATGGAAACTGGGCAACAAGGAGCCCAGAAGACTGATATACCGCTACTCACGATACGACACCCACCGCACACCGTACCAGAACAGAAATTAGCAGATTAAAATTCTGTATTCTCTGAACAAGTAGAGATATGGAATTTTCTAAAAGCTTTGTTTTTGAAAAGACCTTTTTTTGAATCTAATTTGAGCTAAATCGGCCTACCGGAATCAATCCAAATTTACTGCCAAATATGGTGCATATTCACATTTTCTTAGGTTCCTCAAAAACTACGGCAGATAAAAAATTGAAACTTGGGCCACTAAATACTTGCATTATAATACACCTGCCACAATTTTTTTATGACATTCCTGATTTTCATAAAAAATTGTTCATGATCATTAAAAAACATTTTTGACATTATTAGACTATATGTATATATTTAATACGTACATAAAAATACAACTTTATACAAAAAATGAACGTGATCCGCTAATTTGTTTTTAAGTTATTTGTAGTTTTATGCAATTTTAGCGAATTTGCGACTTCGCAAAAATTGCGCGAACTTTAAACCCTTTAAAATTTTTTTCCTACTTATTCAAAAATGTTCATTTTTGATTTTTTTTAGAGCTTAGGATAAGATTTTAGGATATTCAGACAGATATATAGGATATAGATTAAGATAAAATTTGATTTTGAATAAAAGTTATAAGTGAAAATTCATAAAAAGTCAGCCATTTTTTATGGTCTTCTTAATTTCAATCTGCGATACTCAAAAAAGGTATTCGCGTTTTTTCATAAAATTTTTCCTACTAATAACCAAATGGAATACCACAGGGAAGAATGTCATCTCTTTTAATATGGATTTTAACTATGAATTCATTCTTCAACGACTTTGTCCTTTTAGTAAAAGGTATGTCCCCTTCGGTTCTGAGTAACATCGTGGATGGCTTTCTTCAGAATCTTAGTAGATGCGTTATAAAATGTGACATAAATATAAACCTTTTTAAGACGGAACTGTTACTGTTTACCAACAAATACAAATTTCCAAATTTTCCATTGCGAAGGTTATATATATTTGGTATAGCCAAAGACTAACTCTTTCGCATAAGGTTAAGATACTTTACTTTGTTGACACAAAACTTAACTGAAGGGCATTCGACGAAAGAATTCGCAAAACATGCGTGGCCTTCTATGCGTGCAAAAGGATGTATGGTAAGAACTGGAGATTACAGCGTAAAGTAATTCTCTGGTCATCGTTCGGCAGATTTTAACATTCGAGGGACTGGTATAGTTGCCCTCGCTGAATAAACAGTTCATTGTTCAAAAGCTAACAAGACTGCAAAGATCTGCTTATGTGGGTACAATGGGATATTGAAATCGTGCCCCAACGGTGCGCTCAATATCATGTTTCACTTGTTATCTATTACACTTCGGCAATATTTATGTCACCAGAATTCCTAAGAAATAAGAATGAGATATAGCGATATATATCGACGGATCTTAGATGGATAAAGGCATTGGAGTCGGAGTCTTTTCAAAGGACCTAAGGTTCAGTAAATATTAGCGTTTCCCCGATTTCAGTTCTATATTTCAGGCAGAATTCTTTGCCATCCTTAGAGCATGTGTTCTTACTTTAAACATGGACTTTCACGGCAAAAAAATTCATATTTTTAGTGACAGTCAGACAGGTATTAAAACTTTATCAGTGATCTGTATTACATCCAAACTAGTACAAGAATGTGGAGAATTTATTACGCACTAAGTGAGAGGTCCAAGGTAACTCTAGTTCGGGTTCCCGGGCATTCTAATATAGTATGAAATGAACATTAGACTGGGCACCTCTTTTACGGATACTTCTATTTCAACCTTTGTCCCTACCAGCAATAATTGGAGATTGATTTATGACCACTTCTTGAGACGGGCTAATAGTGAGTGAGACCATACTACCGCAGCAATTAAGTCACGAGGTACATGGCCAATCTATCTTTGGTAAATAGAATCAGAGGTATTTAGGTTAATGTCTGTCTTCACAAGGCACTGGACAGCATGGAGCTAGACCCTGTGGTATCTCTACCAACTCTCGATGAAAGAATACCAAAACACCTGTTGTGTTTATTTCCAGGCTTGGTCAGAAGTGGGTTAAGGTTTTTAGGGCCCCTTTTTTTAAAACAATCAGCGATACCTCCAGTATTAACATTGGCCAGACTCTGGCCTTTATAAATGCTTCTGGCTGGTTCTAGTTTGACCTTCTTCTATTATTACGAGAAATTGTTCAAAACGTTGAACTAAGAAAGTTCAACGGAGAATTCGATCCTCTCTACACTTAAATTAACTAACCAAATGTATTTCAGTCCTCAAAAATTACTAAAAAATTACGCAAAATATGACTTTCAATATACCTCATTTATTTAAACAACAAATGTAATTAGTAATAATATAAGGGCATTTATTATTTTATAAATATTTAATTTATTAACATTTCATATTTCAAGCAAATCGGTTAGAAAATAACGAAGTTATAACATTAGGGTTTAAAGTTTGCTCAATTTTTGGGAAACCGCAATTTCGCTTTCTAGCTGTCATAGTTTTCAAAGTAAGTAAGAAAATTTGGAGATAATCCAGTAGACTAAATCGGTTCAAATTAGATTCAAAAGAAAGGCTGGCTCAAAAACAAACCTTTAGGAAAATTTACCATGAAACAACAAATTTTCACTATAGTGTGATTTCTTCGTGAAGTCATTTATATATTTTATTCGTAAGTTGTATGTGCCTATCTTTCCACACGTGTAGAGCTTAGAAAGAAGAAATATAGAACGTTCACCGAAAATAGAAAGGAAAAGTGTATTATTGTTTCTACCCAGCCAGATACGGCAGAACCTGATAGTTCCGTACCCGTTGTACCCAAAACTTGCTATCAGGGTCTCAAACACAATAACGTAATTATGTTGACTTTGAAACTATCAAACTATCATTTATAGTACGTTTTAGCAAGTAAAATATGATACGTTTAGATTTAACTTAAAATTCCATAAATTTAATTCCGATGTTATTGAAGCCAAAACATACCCCACAAAATGTGAGTTGTTGTGAGAGATTGCATCCATTGCAGATTCATTCTGCTTCCACGATTAATGATAAGTTAATAATAGGTCTGTTCCACGAGCTACTCATAGTAACTTTGAGTAAACACTGTGTATACACAAGCGCGTTCCACCAGCAAATTTTCAAGTATTTTTGTGTAAATTTTACTTCTGTTTTACTCATGTTTTACTATGAGTAGCTCGTGGAACAGACCTAATATGTGAAGTATTTACACATGATATACATTACCTTAAACATTGCTTGATTATATGAACAATATATGGCAAAGTTTGCGACAAAAATTACAAAATGTGAAGGTTTAAGTGCTACGATTTTATTTTGAAAACGGTGTTCCTTGTCATCTGTAATTACATAATTTTACCAATGCTAGTTAAGATGCCCTATTTTATTGAAGGTCAACAAATGCCAGTGAGAAAATTAAATTGTCGCTGCTAATAAAAAAAGTGAAGCATTAAAAACTAGTATTATTCCTAAATTAACAGACTGAAGATGGTTTTCCTTTAACTTCAACGTTGCCGATGATACTACAAAAATAAAAAATCTTATTTTGTTGCTAATACTTCTCGCAAGTTCAATGGCAAATGGTTGGTAATAATAAAAATTATTCCTGTAAAGAAGAATCGCCTCTAAAACTTACATTAATTGTTAAAATACTTATCATTGAATTTGAAAAATATTCTTAATTTTTGCAATTAAATCACATTGTTACTTCAGTATTATGTTTTTTTAAACTCATATCGAAAGTAAATGTGTCCAGAAGAAGAAATTAGTTTGACTGGTACCGTTTTTAGATATGCTGAAATAATTCTTTGGCGTCAATAACAACCAATTTGGACCTTAATTAGAAATTATTAAAGATAAATTTTCTGCTCACCGCTATCCAGTAAATGCGATCGACAGAACATGAGCAAACTGTGATTTCTATTATAGCTGACATGTAATAGGCATGAATTTGGATGTCGTTTTGTGATTAGCTAGAGACTGTCAAAATCAGTCAAGTGATTCACACTGGTAAACGAAAGTTTTACCAAGTGAAAGGTGCTCACGCGCCGAAAGAAGAAAAGGACGACTTGACCAAAGATACCTTCTATGGGAGCTTCGAGGAAATTTATGACCGCAGTCCCGCTTTCGTGAATCAAGATCCAACAATGATCTTGGGCTATTTGATTTTGCTGCGGTGCGAAACATGGTAGTATTTAGCACCAGATTTCCGCACCGCGGTATTCATAAGACAACATGGCTATCTTACGATCAATCAACATGAAACCAAATTGATCACTTCGAGATTGACACAAGCCACGCTTCAAGTGTGCTTGACGTACGTTCGTCCTGTAGTCCAAATATCGACTCAGACTACTACTTTGTCGCAGCCCAGCATGTGATCGCGAAATAGCTGAAGTGTTTACCAAGCAACTCTCTAGTCGATCAAATAATCAATCCTTACGTCTTGATAGTACTGGTAGACAATGGGGACATATATCTCACTCCCTTGGCAAAACTGCAAAAAATGTCCTTAGTTTCCAACATCTAATGGTATGACGAAGAGTTAAATTAAGTATTTTTGTAAAAACAACTTTTGTAATTAATATAAAAACACAAAAAGAATAAAATTATCGTTAAAAAACAATTCCAAAAGTGAAAAGTGCATAAAATATTAATTTGAAAATAGCACGCACTTTTTCGAATTTTTGTTTATTTATTTCTTTTTGCAGATTTTCTTTCCTTTAAAGCTAAAAATAAAAAGTTTGAAAAACAAAATATATCAGTGCGCTTTTGTGCATACATAAAAAAAACAAAAAAAAATAGAGCTGATAGAGACAGCTATTATTCTGATAAAAACGAGTTCCACAAACCTAACACAAAGCTAAGCCTACAATACAACATAACATAACACAACACCACATTGCACAACACAATTCAGCCATCATAACTACCATAGTTGGATGCATTGTAATTTTATTTTATTTATTTAATTTATTAATCACCTTTATAATAATTTATTTATTTATTACAATATAGAATATAATATATATATTTACTTTTTTATTTTTTCTTTATATTTTTGTTTATTTTTTTTTATATCAAGTTAATTTAATTTTTATTTGTATTTGTATTAAATTTAACTTTGTTTCATCTTATATTAATAGTAGAAAAAAATTAAATCTTATAGCAAACCTGCTATTTGTATACATAACCACCTATGCAAATGGGTAAACCTAATTCTCCCCCAGAGAAAAGACATACAATAAGCATCCCAAACAAACGGAATGCTTATCTAGTAATAGACGCATCAAACAAGTTGCCACAGAAAACTACACAAACTGATAAAAGCATTGTATCTTCAGCAGCATCGCTTGCATTTCCCGACTTAGTGAGTCCAAAAAATAAAACTAAAATCCAAATAGGCATGGAACGCTATATCAATATTAAACGAAGACTTAGTCCTAAAAAAGGCAACTTAAGAAGTGCTAAAATAAATAAAATTAACAAAGATAGTGCACCCACAAATATACTTTCTGGCAATAGATTTGCGTAGCTAGCTGAATCTACAGAGGAAGCTAATCAGCCTACTACCAAAAAGTTTAAGCCCCCACCAATTTACCTGCGTGAACGCAGTTCAAGTACCCTTGTTACACTCCTAACAAATCTGATTTGTAGCAATACTTTTCATATTGTTCCTTTAACCAGGTGCAATATACACGAAACTAAGATACAAAGTGACACCGATAATAATTTTAGGGTCATTACCAAACATTTCGACGACAGCAAGAAAAATTACTACACATACCAACTGAAGAGTAGCAAAGGACTTGTTGTCGTGCATTGTATAAACTGCCAAGAGTATGGCCACACTGTCATATTGCACTCTTCGTACAGTGTGCGTAGCATGTGGCGAGCTTCACCGTAGTTCGGAATGCGATAAAAAGGCACCAAAGGACTTCAACTCCAAAAAATGTAGCAACTGCAGTGGAAATCACACCGCAAACTACAGAGGCTGTCCTATTTATTAAGAACTGAAGCACAGGTTAGCACTGCAGAAAGAAATGTTGCGTAATCCTACAACAAGTAACCCCATCAAATTAGTTGAAGTACCCCAACCTTTAACTTTCAAGCCTGTTACACCAAGTGCCCCATATGCTAATGTTTTTAAATTTGACAAACAACAAGCCCCTCCAGTTCAAAGTATTAGTTTGGAAATGATGATCTCCACTCTCACCCAGAGTTTAATTCAGTTCATGTCAATCATGCTACTCTTAACGAGATAATTGAAAAGCAAACCCAATTAATGCAAATGTTTTTGTATAATAAATGATAAATAAATACTTTAAAAATGTGTACATGGAATGCAAACGGCTTATGCCGACATAAACTTGAACTCACAAACTTCATGACCCGAGAAAATGTGGATGGAATGCTTTGCTCAGAAACACATATAACAAACAAGTTTCTTTTCTATTCCTGATTATTTGTTCTATAAAACCAATCACCCAGATGGCAAAGCACATGGTGGTACAGGTATTTTGACACGAAGGCATCTAAAACACAATTTTCTAGATACATATGCCCATAATTATATGCAAACCACATCAATATGCCTTAAGCACAAAGGAATTTAACTTTATCGGCAGTTTACTGCCCCCCTCACTTCAACATTACTGAGTCCCAATTTACGGATAACTTCTTAACTTTAGGTGACAGATTTCTTGCAGCAGGAGACTACAACGTCAAGCACACGTATTGGGGTTCACGGCTCTGTAATCCAAAAGGTAAACAGCTTTACAATTCCATTTTAAATAGGAAAAATGCATTAGACGTAATCTCTCCTGGGCAGCTAACATATTGGCCTGCCGATAACAATAAAATACCAGACCTAATAGACTTCGCCGTGACCAAAGGCGTAAGCAGAAATTTTATCTCAACACACACTAGCTGCGATTTGTCTTCTGACCATTCTACAGTAACATTTTTGTTTACTTGATGCTCCTTAGTGACGAGACTGTTTCTATAGTCTTACAAGTCCTAGAATAAACTGGCTCAAATATAAAAAATACATTAGTGTACACATACACAGAAATTACAAAATAAAGTGTAAATCTCATATTGAGGACGCAACGTCGGTTTTAAACTCAATTCTGATTTTAGCACCAGAAAACTTCACTCCTAAAGACAATAACATTTACACATCCAATAAAGTACTTACAAATACTTACATAGAAAACTTAGTCTCACACAAAACGTGGGTTAAGGCGCGAATGGCAAAAAAATTCAAAACCTATGTCGAAATGGCAAAAAACATTTATCCTTGTGGTATGCTCGCAAAGGAAAAAATCTCCCATAGAATCCGATTCTCCAATAAGAAACTCTCTCGGAAAATGGGAGCGAAGCGATTAACAAAAATCTAACGTTTTTGCTGATTATCTAAAAGAGATGTTCCAACCAAATCCGGCAACAAGACATTATTATTTTCCCACTCAGCATCTACATGCACCATCTATTGACAAATTTCACGGCCAATGATCTTGTTCAAACAATCACAAACAATTTAGATTGCAAAAAGGCACCGGGATATGATAGTCTCATTCTATGATAAGATGCAATAAATAAATGTAGGAATAAGTATTTACAAAAAAAAGATTAAAAGTTAGACCGATTCGAATAGCAAAGAAAGGCAAAGACAAAAATTTTTTATTTAATTTATTGAAATTTGGCTGACCATACAACGCTGTTTCGAGTATTGCCAAGTACTCTTCATCAGTGGTCTTTGGAAGTAATCGAATTTTTATTTAATTAGTTTATAGTCCGTATATAATTTGTTTGGACTGCAAGTGCCAGGCTTAGAACTCGTGCCTGTCAAATTAGAAGCGATGACTAATCGTGTTTATCCACAAGAAGCCAAGGCTGCACAAACTTTCAATGCTCAAGTTCCAGGTTTTATTGTCACTTACTTTTATTTAGTTAGTGACACCAACCAAAGCACTTGCCGTGCTTTAAATGATCGCTTCTAATTTGACAGGCACGAGTTCTAAGCCTGGCACTTGCAGTCTAAACAAATTATATACGGACTATAAACTAATTAAATAAAATTTCGATTATTTCCAAAGACCACTGATGAAGAGTACTTGGCAATACTCGAAACAGCGTTGTATGGTCAGCCAAATTTCAATAAATTAATTAAAAAATTTTTGTCTTTGCCTTTCTTTGCTATTCGAATCGGTCTAACTTTTAAATAGTTTCTTTCGTCATAAAAAGACACGCCATTATCGGCAAGAAAAAATTTACCTTAAAAGATTAAAGTTCCTCAACATCCTCAACTACGAGAGTGTTGAGATCGCAGTGTATACATTAATTTCCCATATATCTAGAAGTATTTAAGATTATTCAAAGGGTTTTTGATTGGAAATGTCGGATAATCTGTATATTTGAAGATGCAGCAGTTGCCCAGAGTTCGAAGTCATAAGTCCAGATTGGTTTAAGTATAGCTTTGTAGATAAGAAGCTTTTTTTCGATTGATTGAAATTCTAAATGACTTGCTTGTTATTTTATTATTATATAGTATACTAGAGGATTGAGGAATTCAAGACAAGAAATAGAAGAAATAGCGAAAATTTCGCTCTTTTTGCAAAGAAAAGCAATAATTAAAATATTCGAAAATTTAAATATATCATTACTCGTTACTGACATGGTGAAAAGGGGTACAAAGTAAGTGAATGCAAGTACGAGAAAAATAGCAAGAAAAATATGAAACTATACAATGTTCAGAGGTGACAATGTGCGCAAATAGTAAAAACAGTATCCATATTATGGTGCCTTGATTCTGATGCGTCATCGCACATATGTTTTACAAATGCTGGCTGGGAGCATAAACAATCGCCAAACGAAAATACTTGCCAAAGAATGATAACTTATTACTCGCCTGGATTATTGTATGGCGAATGTTTGAAATTTGACTTCTTCTTTAAAATGTCACAGCTTTTTTTTATAATTTTATAAGTGAAAATGCACAAGAAGGTAACCAGATATCACTGAAGAATTATCTCAAATATATTCTTTACGAAATCTCATTTATATTAGCGAAAACTAAAAATGTGATGACATTTAATATTTCATAAATATTTAATTCGTTTATATTTCAAATTTCAAACAAATTAGTTGAAAAACAAAGAAGTTATCATACATTATGTTCAGACGCCCGATCGACAGTATTAATACGTTCGGATTTCATCTCAAAACAATTAACTAAGTATTTTTAATTTTGAAAAACAACTCAAAGCTTAATCCAAGTTCAAAGTTTTTCGAAATGCTTTTAATAATACTTACCGTAGCCTTTTGAGTCAAGTAAGCCACCGATTTGTGTTAAATTACAGTCCCGTTGAACTGCAAAGTCAAGCATAGTAGACTCCATTAAAAATGCATAGTTTCCATCCATAACTCTTCTTATACCGTCGTCATAAGTCTTCACAAAAACAGAAGACTTTCTATTCTCCATATAACGCCACATTTTTTGATAAATTCCTATTTTAGAATCCTAAACAAATTCGTTTGTAGTTTTAATTTACAGTCAAATTGCTAATCAAAATACTTACCCTAAAAAATGTCATTGTTGAGCCGCCTTCAAGCGTTCCGTAAGCAATATCAGTTTGTTCTGCTAAGTCTGAAGCACTTTCAATAGGCACATGCATCCGTTCAACAGTCAAAAATGCTGCCAAATTAGCAGTATATGAGGATATAATGATTAGCGTAAAAAACCACCAAATTCCGCCAACAATTCTTGTGCTTGTTGCCTAAATTAAATATTTATATATATTTGTAATACATATTAACTACTCCTTGTTCAAAAAAAAAAAAAATAGAAATTATTTAAGTTATAACGCACCCTAGGATACAAATCACATCCCTGTTGCATTAATGCGCTGATAGCAAACCAAAAACTGTTTTTTAAAGTAAAATCATTTTGGACATTGACGAGTTCAGTTTCGTCATCGTGTTCACATTCCATAGAAGCCAAATTTTGAATATCTGGCACAGGCTTCGTATAACTCAGTTCAATGTTTACAGATTTCTTTCGCATTTTATCGGATTCAATAAAATTATATTTCAATGGTTTACTATCATAGTGAATTTCTTTATTGACATTTTTCATGTCCAGTTGAACAAAATTTATATTTTGCTTGTCGTCATCTAAAATTTTATTTAAATGCTCAGAGGACACATTTCGATGAATCTTGAACTCATTCTCTATTCTTTGTTGTTCCCGGTTTTCGATATTTATTTCTTCTGAATTGTGTTTACATGCCATTGAACAGGATGGCTTTGAAGACTGCCACTCTATTGGAGAAAATCTGGCAACAATCCATATTGTGAGCGATACCAATATATAACCAAAAGCAATATAAAACCAAATGTCAACTGCCAAGGGATTCATAAACGAGAAGAACCGAGTTTGTGCTCGATCAGATTTCTGAAAAAATTTGTCAAACTTGTGCCCCTTCATTCTTTTATAAAAATAATTATAAAATAATTCCACGTTTTTTTTTCAATAAACATTAAATCAAACAACGCAAAGACACATCTACAAGCCCAGGAAATAAGGTATATATATTATTTTTTTCTATTTGTTGATAGAAATTGATGTTTTTGATTGATGTTTTTATTGATTCTTTATATTATTTATAAAAAATTGCAATTTGAATTTAGAGTTGCTCAATTAGACCTTTTCTTTTGTAAGCATGTCGCAAAAGAACAAATAAAATAACCACTACTTTCGGTGGGAACTCTGGACAAAATGGTAAACAGACAAATTTTGTCAGGCTTATACAATTTAAAGTTAAAACTTCGGAAATGAATAATAATTCTTTGCAAATATTGGTAAGAATATTTTTTTACATGATTGTGAATAAAATATGAATTTTTATGCCTTTTGACAGTAAAATAATAAATAGCAAAGGTAACGTATTTGTTACAAACAATGAGCACACGATATACGAATAATTAACGAAATCGTTCGTTGACAGTTAATTGGAAATTTCATAGGTACTTCCAAAAAACGTTTACAAAAGATGAACCATGCGATTAGAGCTACTTATTAGTTAAGAGATTTTAAAAAGGATGGACTAAATAAGCCAGCTGTGTTGTTGTTTCATATATTATTTTTAAATTAAGCGGTTGTTCTTTTGTGATATGCTTACAAAAGAAAAGGTCTATTGATGAACGGTATGGTGCACATAATGCGTTATGATCACACGTATCAGATATTGTTACCGATATATTTTGCTTTATATGGAATTCAAAATACATAAAACTTTTTAAGAATAAGTTATTATAGTTATTGAAGTTATTAGAAACTATGAGACGATATAATTTTACTGAAGAATGGTCTAAATATGTAACACTGTCGGTGACAGTACATATGATCTCAGTCCACATCAAGAACTAAAAATAGCCTCAATCTTAACAAAATGAGCGTAGTAGGCAGACATAGTATTAACTCGATAATGGGATGTTCAAAAATTTGTCTACAAAATTCTATATTTACAGAAGTATTAAAATTAATGTCATGATTGGGATCATACAAATGTCGCCTTGCCGTAGATTTTAATAATCTAAATATAAAATTAGTTAACGATAATTTTGCTTTTCCAATCCTAGAAGACATTTCTTACCTTACTAAGTAAAGCAAAATAAATAAATAAATAAATATGTTCGCAAACATATTTAACGCAGTTCATTTTCAGACCTCTAACCAATCCAAACAGTCACTATTCCCTTTAAGTGCCGTTTCCGTAACTGACTAACAAGCTTTAATATAAGCGTTGCTAGCTTGATATTGTCAAAATCAACATGATTTATAGACGAAATCCATAAAATTGAATTAGAGAAAACTGCTGGTGAAGCAACGGATTGTTTTACTAACAATGACTTTTTATTATTTAGCCGTCAAAATTAATCGAATAGCTTATTATAACCACAACATAAAAGTGGTTACTTGCAGATGAAAATATCATAACAGAAAGTTATAGAAGTTTTTTACAGATCTCATAAATTGAACCTTAAGAATCAATCAAGCAAATTAACAATGCTAAATATCAATGCTAAATATGTACATAAAATTAGAACATTATATAGAACACGCTAACATCATAGGCTGAGATCACAGCTTTAGTGATAAATCTATAATTGAACGAAGCCCGAAAAACAATAAATTGTGCAAAATAATAACAAAACTCCAGTTTGAATTAATATAAAATAATTTAAAAAAACTATTAATCAACTCTGGTTTTTCATTTTTTGCAGCACGAAGTAAGAGCAAACAATTGTTTGTTTGTGTATAAGTTTGGCGAACTTAAATTCGGATAAATTTTATTTTACATTTGACAGTTTTCCCAATAACATTCGGATATTGCATGCAATTCTAATTGTTTCTTTATATTGTTTTAAATAAATTTTAAGTAATTGAATTAATTGGAATGGAAGAAGTACTAACCTTTGGATTTATCCCGGATCCCTGACGCAGAAATGTTCCTGTTATGAACCAAAAACTATTTGATATAGAAAATTGGTTTTCCACTATATCAGATTCTTTCAGGCAGGGATGAGGATTACTCCATTCGTAAGGTGAGAAACGTGCCATTACAAATAGCGTAAAAGAAACTAGTATATAAGCAGCTAGCACATACAACCATATTTCCATAGCCAGTGGATTCATAAAGGAGAATAGACGAGTAGGTTGACTAGTTGGTACCTACGAATTTTGTTTTGTACAGGTGAAGAGCATGCTAAAGCAGCTACTTTTCAAATAAATTAATATCTTTTTACGGGAATCTACTTACTTTAAACAGAATTCCAATGCCTAAGTTCATAAATGGTTTCGTAAAATCAATAACACTTTCGCGAGCATAATTTATTGTCATGGACGCAACAGCCAAATCCGCACGCTAAAGTATAATACAATTAAATCTGTTTAATTTATATTACAACCTTTGTATATATATTCAAAGTAAATAAATTTCTTTGCACTAAAACATACACTTTCCATAAGTTCTCGCACAATACCATTCCAAGTGTTCGTTTCCGGATTATAAACTCCATACATATTATCGGGAACTAACTCAATGTTATACTGAAAACCCACTTGTACTGCTATCGCTTTAAGTAAATCAATACAAAATCCTTCAAAACGAGCATTACCAGTTAAATTAGTGTCTTGTTTCACCATAACATATGGTTTTTCCTAAAATTAAATTCATTCGAATATGACAGTATACAAAATCGTAGATTATTAATACATAAATAATTATTTAAAAGATCGTACCTCTCTTGTGACAACAAGTAATGTTATATTGGCATTATTTATGTCATAAAAAGCATTTGGATCAGTAATATTTATACCCACTTCAGTGTTCCAGTAGCCTACTTTTTGAATTGAATCATGTTTTAGTTTTAACAAATCAATTTGAAATCCACTACGATGGCCATCTGAAAACCGAACTTTTCCTGTTAACCCATCAAATGTAGCCTATAAGAATATATATCTGTATATGTATGTATAAAACTTTTAGCTTCAATTTGCAGTTAAACTTACTGAATTTATGTAATTATACAACGATAGCCCATCACTCCAAGATTCTTCTGAATCGCAAGAAAGGTTTCGAAGGGATAGGGTATGACTGCGATCAAGCTCTTTAAGACCAGCAGCAAATGCATAAACTGCGTCAAACATAAGCGCCGATTGTGTCTGTAATAGATAAAAACTGGGTTATCAACAACTAGATACAGAGCAAATTTAACACAATTGAAAGAAATGTTAAATTACATTTATAAGTAAAATTATAAACAAATAAAATATAAAGTTTGTTAATTTCAAATGATTTGTTATAAGTAATTTCAAAAGGTATCTTTATTGCCAGATTCTATTCAAGCCAGATGGGCTTCAATCTATGGTACTTAAAATTTTTTGATCTTAGATTTATTGAAAGCATACATACATAATTTTTCGATATTATAAATTCTTAACTACCAACATACGCAGATCCTTACATAGGGAAAATAATCAGCGTTATTTAGGATGCGTTATTCCTGGAACTGGCAGATATATTCTCGTACAGAAAAATATTTCCTTAAGTCATATGATGTGATTTAATTTATGGTTCGATGCGGAAATTTCTATGGCAAATTAATTATTAAACGGTCGGCGAAAATCCTCGTTGTAAACCCTCCCCGTGGGTGCTGACCGGGCAATGGGCATCATCCATTTTTTTGGCAATTCGATTCATGAAGCTCTCGGATGTTATAGCTGAGGAACATGATGCGGCTTGTCAAGGCCTGTGATGTGTCTAGCTAAGATGAAGGAAGAGTCTCATGTGTAGTGGTCGTGGTATCAACAGGGTCAGTGCAGGTGAGCCCCTTCCCTAGTCATAACTTTGAGGTGTCTGGCAGTAGACAAAAAATGCAAAATGGTGGGTTTTTCCATAAAAAACCAAATGGAGTTGAAGAATGAAGAAAATCGGGCTGGGATATCAGCCCAAACGTCGGTGGGAGGCGCAGTTGCTACCACCGGCGGGCGCGGTGATTTTATAAGCCGCGTCGCCAGTGACTGCACCTCTGCTGGGATCGGAGCAGGTTCCAGTAGTTGTACTACTACTGCCAAACAACAGCGCAGTGATGCCAAAGTTCTTGTAGACTTGGGTCACAAAGGCGCAATTTCAAAAAATAAAAATACAATGCAACGCAGTGATGCCATAGTCCCTGTAGACTCGGATCACGAGAGCGTTGCTAGTGTCAACACAATTGAGGAGGAAGCTCTTCTTCGTTCTCCGGGGGAAGCTGCTAAGGCCATTCGTAGGCCTAGGGCTGAACCAAATAAGGAGGGGTTGAAAGCCAAATCCAGATATAAGGCTGCGATAAAACTCTGTGCTCGCCTCGGAGACCGGAATGATCTGTCGAAGGAGGAGAAAGACAGGCTAGTCTGGGCAAAAGAGGAGATAGAGAAAGGTCGAGCCTTTTTCGCAGGTAAAAGATGGTGTGAACCCTCGGATTCCAAATTTGCAAATCGAATCGAGGAAGATATGGCATGTAAAAGGCAGCGCTCAACGGAAAGCGAAGGTCCTTCTGGAAAGAGACAAAAGCGTAAAGATGAGGCTGCCCCTCAACATAAAACTACTACGAAAAGGACGAAAGCCGATACTACTAAAAGGCCGGAAGCGTCCACATCTAAAGCAGCGACAACAACAAAAAAGACGAAAGCCAATGATCCAAAAGAATAGGAAGCGTCTACATCTAAACTAACAATGGCGGAGATAGTGGCCAAGCGACGCTTGATTGTGGCACTTATTGACCGCAGTGATCCACAGGGTCAAATGGTAGAAACTAGGTGGAAAATAGTGGAAATGAAGCTATTAGATGCTATGTTCGCCAAAATGAGTGCGGAACCAGAAGCTCCAATGCCATCATTTGACGGGGCCGGCTGGTTCAACGGAGTGAAATTACTGAAGTGTAAAGACGACTCTACCCTGAACTGGTTAAGGGAGACAGTTAAAACGCTCCAAGGCCTATGGGAAGGGGCATCTTTGGAGGTAGTGGACAGGAAAGATATCCCGTCTTTGCCCAAAGCGAAGGTTCTTATACCTCGAGTGGTGAAGCCAGAGGATGCTCTTCGTCTCTTACAACGACAGAATCCGGATGTGCCAACAAGCGATTGGAAGGTGTTAAAGGTCCTCAAGCCAGCTAAAGAAGGCGAGGGACAAAACTACATCCTATTAATCAACAAAATGGCCGAGGACATTCTGTATTCACGATACGGGAAGATGTCGTGGGGAGTAGGGAGTGTGTACCTTCGCCTCAAAAAACGACACCCAACCGATAGGAATTCTAATACACTCGCTGCGGAGGAAATCGAGGAGGATCTCGGTATTGAAGAAATCCTAAGCTCGTCCCTCAATCTTCGCAAAGGAGAGGAACCGGGTGTGATGAGTGTTGAAACCAACCCCGGGGAAGAATCGGAAGCTCATGCTAAAGATTCTACAAATAAACCTCCATCGATGTAAAATTGCCTCAGCTGAGCTCCTCCTTAATCTAGAAGAGGGCGGCTACGATGTGGCTTTAATTCAGGAACCATGGCTGGCCTCGGGCAACCTGGTGTCTGGGTTAAACTCACGAAATTATAACACATTCATTCCACATGGGGTAACAAGGGTAAGAACTGTTATACTAGTAAAGAAAGGTATTAATTCTTATATTGTAAACTCTCTCTCTACAGGAGATCTAACGGTAGTGGCGGTTGACGGCGATAGGAACATACTTCTCGCGTCTTGCTACATACCACATGAGGAAGAAATACCATCAGAAGAACTCCAAAGGCTGGTAGATTTAGCTGGCGAAGGAGAGCAAAGTCTGATAATCGGTACTGACGCCAACGCACATCATACGCTTTGGGGAAGCACTGACATCAATGACAGAGGTGAGTCTCTTTTTAATTACATAATACAAAGTAGGCTTAGTGTAGCTAACAGAGGAGAGGAACCGACCTATGTTGGACCGACCTCCAGAAACGTTCTAGATATAACACTCTTCACGGAAGATAATGTACAGGTGATAGAATGGAAGGTTCTTAACGAACCATCATTTTCAGATCACAAATATATTAGTTTCCAAATAGATTTTCAGTACCTTAAAAGCAGAAAAGTTGTAAGAAATCCCAAACAAACGAATTGGGACCTTTATCGAAAAATTCTGAAACAGAGACTGAAAAAAATTACGACAATTGATTCTTACGTGGATCTGGAAGCTAGGCTTGACCAACTTACCAGAGCCCTAACTATAGCTTACCATATCGCGTGCCCGCCAATGCGTACTAAACGTAGATCTCAACTTCCTTGGTGGAATAAGGAATTGGGATCAAAAAGACGCTACGTTCGCGAAATCTTCAAGCTGGCTCAGCTAGCAGAAAGTGAAGTTATCTGGGAAGAGTACAGAGATATTCTTAAGCAATACAAAAAAGACATTCGAAATGCGAAAAGAAACTCCTGGAAGGATTTTTGCGCAGGTATAGAAAAGACGGTGGAGGTAGCTAGGCTTAGAAAACTACTATCCAACCACCCAACTATGCCTAACCTTATCAGGAAGGAAAACGGCGAATGGACAAAAACTAACACTGAATCACTTGTAGATCTTACTAACACTCACTTTCCTGGCTGTGCAATTGTGAGCAATACCGAACCGGTCAGGAATGTAGTAGGCTCCGCAGGAAAAAATATTGTTACTCACGTGAGGCTGGAATGGGCAATCAAATCATTCGCCTCATACAAATCTCCTGGACTTGATGGTATTTATCCAGCTATGATACAAAAGGCTTCGGACCTAATAAAAACATGGCTGATAAATATCTTTAGAGGATGCTTGAAGCATAATTACGTACCTGTAAACTGGCGAGTGGCAAGAGTCATTTTTATTCCGAAAGCAGGAAAAAATGGTCACCTTTACTCTAGAGATTATAGGCCAATTAGTCTTACCTCTTTTATTCTCAAAATTTTTGAAAAAATACTAGCAGCACATATAGGAGACCAATTAGCTCCTGAAGTTCTGTCAAGAGCACAACACGCTTATACTAAGGGCAGATCCACGGAGACTGCTCTCCATACATAGAATACAAAGAATACGCTCTAGGAGTTTTTCTGGATATTGTATCAATAATGTATCAACGCAAGCTATTTTAAATAGCTTAGATGATGTTGGTATAGACTCGGCCACATATCAATGGATTGCAAGCCTTTTAAGCTGCAGACAGATAGGGGCAGAATGGAACGATACAACTCTAGCTAGGGAAACATGTAGAGGAACCCCGCAGGGAGGCGTTCTCTCACCCCTTCTCTGGTTACTGGTAATCAATAAAATTCTTAAACAATTTGATGGTAAAGCTCCGAAACTAATTGCATATGCGGATGACATCGCAGTAGTTATAACGGGGAGATGCCTATCTACTCTAAGTGCGTTAATGAGCGACGCTCTCAAATCAATTTACAACTGGGCGACCGACGCTGGCTTAAGCGTAAACGCAGAAAAAACTGACACAATACTTTTCACAATAAAGTACAAGGTCACAGCATGGACGCCACCTAACTTGAACGGAACTCTTTTGCCACTGAAAACTCAAACGAAATACCTTGGAGTAATTGTGGATAGCAAACTGGCGTGGAAGCCTGATGTAGAAGAACGGGTAAAGAAGGCAACAAATGCTTTATACGCATGTAAAAGTATGCTGGGAAGTACATGGAGTCTCTCACCCGGTCTTATGTACTGGTGCTACACGGCTATAGTTAGACCTATATTACTTTACGGTATATTAGTTTGGTGGACAGTTGTGAAAAAGAAAACATATATAAAACCCCTGGAAAAGGTCCAAAGACATGCGGCGATATGCATCACCGGTGCAATAAGAACAACTCCGACGGCAGCTCTAGAAGCTATACTAAACTTACCCCCAATTGATATCTTTGCCGACAATATGGCGGGAAAAACAGCCGAACGGCTACGCATCACTGGGCAACTTACTCGAAGATCTTTCGGGCATAACGTTGTAAATCAGAACGCCACACTTGATTCGGATTATATGATTCCGATCATGTACACCGGAGCAACAATAAAAACTGTGATCGAAAACGAAGGATGGAAAAAAGGCATGGTGCCAAAATGCAACACCATAAATGTTTTCACAGACGGTTCAAAGATGGAAGTGGGAGTAGGAGCTGGCATATATTGTGCGGAATTGAGCATAAGAATGACGTTTAAACTTCCCAACTACTGCAGTGTATTCCAAACAGAAGTGTTTGCTGTTAAGAAAGCGGCGGAGCTTGTGTGTAGGGATGAAACGAGAAACTACTGCATAAATTTCTATGTGGATAGCCAAGCAGCCATTAAGGCGATCAAATCTTACTGGTCATCATCCAAAAATGTTCTAGAATGCAAGGAAACCGCAGACTTTGTATGTACTGGATTCCTGGTCATAAAGGCATAGAGGGAAATGAGACACTTGATGCTATTGCTAAAAATGGCGCAAAACTTTCAGAGGAACAAACAAGCGAAGTACTTAGACCTCTGAAACAAATACATAAACTTCTGGACGAGCATATGATAAGGAGAGCAAAGGTAAGGTGGCGGAACTTAACCACCTGTAGAACAGCTAGAATTATGTGTAGACACATATACGAAGAAAAATACACCAAGAATGTTATATCGTTTAACCGAAGGAACTGTAGAACATTAATTGGTGTGTTGACAGGTCACTGTTTGGTTGCATCACATGCCCGAAAACTAAACCTAATTCACAACGATGCTTGCAGGAAATGCAATGAGCCGGATGCAAAGGAAACTCTAGAGCATCTGATGTGTAATTGCCCGGCTCTCTCGAGAACTCGACAAAAATACTTGGGAGCTTTCAGTTTTGCAGGACTGGAGTACATACCTGAGGTTTCTGTTGGAATCTTAATAAATTTTGCTAATGAAACGCGCGTCTTAAGTGATGCTTACAATCGCTAAAACAAGACTCTGATCTGGTATCGCAATGGACCTTAGTGGTCTACGCGTGGCCTTTATGGCCTGCCAGCATAATCTAATCTAATTATTAAACAGAATAAAGAGTTTTAGTACAAAGATCAGAATTGTGACAAAAACCATTTTACAGTTTCGCTCACTGCAACTCAAATTCAAATACAACCATTTTGTTCGTTTCATTGCTACTGAAACGCTGATATTGAATTTGCTACAGTTAGTTAATCTCAAAAGTTTATACTATATTTTGTTTTTTATTTATAAGTAGTGAAACCAATGAATTTCCATCAATGTCTGTTCACCATAGTTGTAGCCATCTCCTATAATATTGATGGTGCATTTAATATGTTAAATGTTATAGGCCATCCTATTATATGGCATTTCGAATGCCATTTAGTGGTGACAAACGCAGTATACTGTATTGAATCTATTGTCAACGCAATCTAATGGTAACCTAACATATTTTACCTAATAATAAATGAGGAGTAGTGAAATACTTGTATGTGTCCTGCCACGATGAGCTGTTGTGAGTCGAAAGACTCAACTTATTAAGAACATTCTGATTTATATTCCAGCATTGGGCATGCGTAAAAGTAGGCAGCGTCGTTTGCAGCTTGTCCAATAGCAGTAACCAAAGTCAGCTTGTCGGTAAGAAATGCTGATTTTCGGTTTTTGTTAATTGTGTCACGCTGAAAGCGACATTGGAAATAAATAATCAAAAGTTGCAAAAATATTGAGTGCAACTTAAGTTATTGACGTTTTTGCGAGTTGAATAATAAAAATAAAGTAATTTGGGGAACCTTGAAATGTCCGCATCATGCGTAGGTAATACCTTTAGAATTTTTGTTTAAAAGACAGTAAACAATAGTCTAAAGACGCAGTTGAAGAAGTCAGTTGGAGCAGTTGTGTTTAGCGGTTGTGTTCTGTGGGTGAGCTTGTGCTCTGTAGAGCCGTTAGGTCTTCACGGATAAATTGTTAAAAGAAAGGATCACAACAATGAACTGTAAATTATTCTATAGTTAAGTGAACAGAAGTATTGAGACATTTGTGTAAAAGAAAAACAAATAACATATTTGAATTGTTTTTAAATTAATGTGAATACAAAACTTGTACAATTTCTGTGATAAATATAAATTGTTCACTGACACAATTAATGTCTTAATGATACTTATAAAAAATAGATAATAGACCTCTTGCAATTCATCGTAAAAAATAAATGGAAATAAACAAGTTAACAACTATAAATAAGATACGAAGTGTTTTTATTTTACTAAATTTTCGGACACAATATTTGATAAGGGATTTGTAATTTTGTTGAAAATAAACCATTATTGAAATCCCCACATACACAACATATTTCGAAGCATACACAACAGAGCAAAATGGACGAATAATTTCTTTCTTAAGTAAATCATTGATTGTTTCCTTAGCAACTATGTCAGAAGAGTCTCATTTTTTTAATTTTATTTTATTTTCTCTAAATTATATTTATCGACATTGTCACTAATTTTGGATAAACAAGCCTTAAATAAATTTCATCTATTAAACCAAATTGACTTTAAATAATTTAATTGTTGATTTCAATTCCTTTTTGTGACATGACAAGGGTTGTCTTTTATAACAAAATGATTATCATACCCACACAAACGTTTCTTAAGTAGAAACTACTTCACCACTTCAAAGTCCTTAAATTTTTTTATATATATATTATTTGTAAATACAATCTGTATAAGAACATTCAGTGCTACTTATGGATATAAAATAGAATAAAATGATATTTTTCCAGATAATTTCAAAATCGAAAATCATTTTTTGAAAATTCAGTCCACCATATACATATTTACTTTGTTGGTCATTACCGAAGTGGGTCTTCGCTGCGTCCAGAAACCGACGCCAGTCAGTGGCATGCTGTCGCCAGTCAGTGGCATGCTGTCGCCAGTCAGTGGCATGCTGTCGCCAGTCAGTGGCATGCTGTCGCCAGTTGGTAGTACTGAGCGTCCTCATATCCTTAATCACCTGGTCCTTCCACTGATGATGCGGATATCCTCTACCGCGTTTTTTATCTGTGGGTACCGAATCAAACACCACCTTCTAGTCGAACCATTTACTTCCATTCGCATGACATTATCAAACTAGTGAAACCGCTGAATTTTTATTTCGACATTTTATCTATGGCAATGTTGCGGTATAAGTTATATAGTTCATTGTTCCATCTATTTTCATACTCGTTGCTAATGAGTATATACGATTTGTCAGATCTAAAGGCATATTGATAGAGTCCATTCAGTTGGTTGGCGATAACTTTTTTTATATGTTACGAATTAGCTGTAGCATGTATTTTGACAGCATTCACATCTTTCTGAATTTTTCTTTTTTTGCCTGAAAATACCTTTTTCTTCCCTTTTCTTTTGCCAATATCGTTCTTTAGCAGCGCGTGTAGTAACTAAATGTGGCTTAATATGCTTCGTCTTTCTCTGCGGTAGCGCCACGATAATCGTGGTTTTCCCAGCTGTTTTTTTATTCACAGTGATAGCCAATCAGCTAGTCACCTCTTCCGAAACGGTACGCATGGAGTTAGAGATGTCATTCCATTGCGCGTATGTATCGATTGCGTCCAGTTCATTTATGAGTCTGTTTTCGACCTCTGACTTTCGCTGTACTTGTCGACGTACCTTTTTTATTACATATAGACCTGTCGATAATAGCTTCTAGGATAGTACGCATATCCACAACACTGCAAGCATGTCTTCCATCTATCACGACGTGATCAATTTGTGATATTGTGTTTTAATCACGTGACAGCCTGTTGCCTTATGTATGTTGATACACTGAAATCGGATATTACTAACCACCATGTTTCTAGCCACAGACATAAAAATCAACTTTTTTCCATTATCAGCACTCTTTGTATGAAGGCCGAACTTTGGGCCAGTAGTACTAAAGATATGTTTTTGAAGTGTTCTTACACTGATTCAACCTCTTCATAAAAAATTTTCTTGGTGTCGTCATCTTTATCATCCGTCCGTGCGGATGTAGATAAAATTTTTCCTTAATACACATTTGAGTAAGTCTTTCGTTAATTGGTGTGATGGTAGAACCTTCTTACATCATTTGTTTCAAAAATGTTTTTGTTTTCATTTATTGCCAGTGTAAACAACAACTAACTTTAATTTACACATCAAAAAATAAACTACTTTTTTTCAGATAACATATGATATATTCCACAATCGCCTTTTTTCAATGCACTGCAAATGCTTTTTGTAATTTTTCTGCCTTTTTCATAATAGTATGGAGTTTATAATATTATATAAGTATAATGTCAATAAAATAATATATAAATAAGTGAATAGTTATCATTAATAATAGTATTACCTGAATGTATGGTCTCCCGTTTATAATGTCCAAACCATTGTGTTGGAATTTTTGCATTTGTTCAACGATGTCTTCATATCGTTTACTTTCTACATCCACTAATCGAAATGCAGTAATATTAACACCATTGTACTTAAAGTCTTCCAGGTCATAAGTATCCATATCCTGCAATAATGTTAAAAAAGGGAGATTATTAAGTTTAGTTTCCTTAAATCCTTCTGATTTCAAGGTAAATCATCGGTTGAGTTGTAACATGTTTTCAATGCTTAGTAAGTGTGACTTACTAAGTAGATCCTTAACCATACATAGAGCTATCCTTGTTTTTTAACTTACTTGAAAATAAATCAAACGAAATTAGACCAAAAATGTCGCATGGATTAAAGATGAGCAAAAAAACAATGGCAGTTAATTTATATAGAACTTTAAGTGACCATTTGTGAGAGAAATCCCAATTTTAACATATTTAAGAACTCAATTAGATAGTTACAAGTTCGTCAGCATTCACAACGCTGTCAATAGATTTGAAAGTATCAGACTCGCCTGCTATTTGTTCTTGAGTTGCGTGGTTATTGCGAAGACGTACGTCTGCATTTTGCTGATAAAGTGGCACGTTTGTAGAGACATAATAGGTTTTATTATACTTAACAGTGGTTGGCAAAAGTATTTTGACGAAATATGGTAAATATCGTGTATTTTTGAGTTTAACTTTGAAAGAGCATTATAAAGAATTCTTGCTTACTTTTTAATATTATTTATAACTAATACACACTTAAAAATAAGCGAGCAAATATATTTTGAAAGAAACTTGGAGAGATATAGATTAATTGGGAATTTCATATGTTGTCATAAGTATTTTGACAAGTATATAACACTAAGAGAACAAAGTTTAAACCTTACAAAAGTAAACAAAAGACTTCAATAATTTTTGAAGCCGTATCGTTATTAAATCAACTAATTTTTGAAGAATCTCTGAAGAAACATCTTTCCCAAGGAAAGTGACCTCAGAAACTGTATTCTCTGATTTTATTTAACGAAACTTGTTTAACGAAAAATTTAACGACACCAACATCCTTCAGAAAATTAGTCATCATTCGGACTTTGTGATTCTTCAATTTTTTTTTTTTTATTTAATTCGAATTCAATATGTATTCTGTCACATAACATAGTGACATTTTACAATTTTTTAATAAACACTATTTAAGTCATGATAATTTATAATTAAGGTAATTCTCTCCCTATGGAGAGCTACTTTTTTCTTTTAAAATTAAGATTTTTATTATAATATCTGAAGCGGCGGTTTCTTTTTCAGTCTCGTAAAAATTTTTGAGGGGGACATTAAACTCGAAGCAAAGATGTTGGGATGAATTTGTATTCGTTCATGGTATTTTCTAGCTACCTTTTTTACTTCGTCTCACCGGGATTATCCTAAGGTCCCGATGGATTTGAATGTTAGTTACATACCATGGAGCATTTACCATTTCTCGTAAAGTTTTAGACTGAAATCTTTGAAAAATTTGTATGTTGTATGTGCCCTTTCTCATTGTGAATGTAACATGAGTAAATTTTGTTTCATATGCTTTCATGCGCCAATGCTGCAACCATTTTGATAAACGCTCAAGACCAGCTTGTAGTTTGAAAGAGCAAATGTGCCTACCGTCTTCGATAAATCGTATGTGAAAAGCAGATGAAGGATTGGACCGAGTACACTGCCTTGTGGTACTCCAGCTTTAATATCAGGTAGAAAAGACATTTCATTCTCATTGTTGACATAAAAGAATCTATTCAATAGATACGATTTTATGAACGTATAAAAGTTAAGTGGCAGAAGCTTTTTGCAATTGAAAAGAAGTCCTTGGTGCCATACTCGATCAAACGCTTGACATATGTCCAAAAACGCTGCTGAGCAGTATTCTTTTCGCTCAAAAGTGGTCTGTATTTTTTCAACAATTCTATGAATTTGCTCAATGGTTGAGTGTTTTCTTCTGAATCCAAACTGGTGGTTCGGAATTATTCGTTTCGACTCAATTACCAGCATAAGACGTTTTAAAAATAATATCTCAAGAACTTTTGAAAGAATGGGAAGGAGACTTACTTCCCAGGTAATTGTAGAAATTATTTTTCGTTTTTTAAATTTCCTAATTGATAACTCCATTTGGTAAGTTTCTTCCAAAAATTTGGAAACATTGACATCTATTGCTGCATCGCCAGTCATATCATGTGGAATAAAAACATTTTTTAGATGGCTTGCGAAAAATTGAGCTTTTTCAGACGGTTTATTATAGTATTACGGTTATAGTATTATCTGTTTTTTTAAGTGGGGGTCAATAATCTATTGTATTATTTACTTTTTTATTTGCTTTTCATGGAAAATAGTGAGATAAGTGAGACGTGTCGAGGCTATGTAAGAACTGTTGCGTTTTTGTTCCGTCTGTCGTTTCAGCAGAGTTTTTAGATCTTTAGTAATTTTGTTAAGTTTTCTATTGTCTTCAGGAAATCTGATACGATGCCATATTTTTCTAGCATTCCATTTATCCTTTTGTTTTTTTGTACTCTGTGCAGTATACATTAATAGATTATTCCTATAGACTTTTGGAGGGGGAGTAGCTTCTCATTCTGCTTCCTGAATAGATGTGGTCAGGTATTCAGTCGCTTCAATTATTTCTTCTTCGCTTTTTAGTGTCATTTTGACGTTTAGAGACGATGACAATATTGTTTCAAATATAGTCCAATTTGTTTTCTTATTGTATAACTGACATTTTTGGATCTTGTTTCTAAGGTCTTTATCTAAGGTCTTTATCTAAGGTCTTTAAGGTCTTTACGGGTGAATGGTCCGATGATAACTCTAAGCTGGTCTTACACTGCACATGTTCATAAAGGAAGCCTTTGGTAACGCAGAAATCAATTAGATCAGGATTTATTGCTGTATCTGATGGCCAGTATGTGGGCTCTCCCGTGGAAAAAACTTTAAGTTTCCAGAGTCTCACTGCTTTGTATAATTCACATTTCTTTGTTGTGGTTAGTCGGGATCCCTAGAATATATTTTTCGTATTGAAGTCACCACCAGTTATAAATCGATTCCCTAATGTTGAAAGAAATTTTGTGTGGATTTTTTCCTTCACAGTATGTTTTGGTGGGCTATATATGGCAGATATACGAATTGGTCCGACTGAGTCCTCGATCATAATATTTCTGGCTTGAATTTTATCAGTGTTATAGTGAGTACATTCATAATGTTTAAGTATTCTTTTAATTAATACTGCAGAGCCTCCACGAGCTTTTCCGTCCGGATGCGGAGACTGATAGAAACAATAGGATGGAATTTTAAAAAAATTTTTTTTTGTGAAATGAGTTTCTGAAACGAATAATACATCTACGTTATTTTTTGATAGAAATAATCTCAGTCCAGAGGATAAGTAGACGTTTGCAGTTTTTTATGCACTAAGCACACCTTGTAGTTTGCTGGGTGGTTACCTTCACAAAGATGCGTGATTACCAGCACACTTAATGCATTTGGGTTGTCTTCTACATCCTGACTTAGTGTAACCATAGTGTTGGCATCTTGAGCATTGAGGTAATTCACGTTTAAAATGTGGTAACTCGACTGTGGAGTAGGGTTTTTATGTTGTAGAAAAAGCCTACTTCACTTTGTTATTTGGTTTTTGCTCTATTTCTATAATGAACATTGGAAGGGACCTTTTTGTTTGATGATGTTTCATATTCCAAATATTTGTAGCAGCATGTTCAAATTCTTCAAGAGCTGTTTTTATTATCCCCTATATATCCGTTATATCCCCTATATTGACGGAAGGATGCATATTTTTTAATATGACCTTAAATTCCTTTCATTTGTATGTATAGAATTCCGTGGTCTTGCTTTTGAGCAGTTTAACGATTTTTCATAAATTTCTGGTGTTCCGGGCTGTATACGAACACGAATAGATGAAATCACTCTTATTTCATATTTATTATTTGCAATTTCGTTAAGCAGATTTAAAAGTGGGCGGACGTCCTCATTTTATCTTCGAAAATTGGAAGTGATTTAAGGAGTTTTTCTTCTGGTTTAGCCGGTTGATCTTCTTTTTCTTCCACTACGAGTCCATCAAATCTATTCGAATTACTGAGCCAGTAGTTCAATTTTTGTTGATTTGGTTTTTTCATTTTTACAGGACTGTCTCTAGGTCTTTTATTACCTTTAGGTTCCATTATTCTTTTCTGCACGATTTAAGATCATTAGGTGAAATATCGATTTTAGCATTAGGGATTTCACTCATAGATCCTGATCGTTCTCGTTGAGAAACCTTCAGTAAACTCGAAATATCTTTATTTTGTTTATTCATATTTTCTGCTATGTTCTTATTTAGCTTTCTAGCTAAATAAGAACATAGCAAGCTTCTGCTATGTGAAGCTTTCTAGCTTTATATGCTGTTCTATCAGCTGTTTTAGATGTGTGTAGAAAAATATTAATAAAGAAATTCAAAACAAATTAATTTTGCAAAGTTAAACTAATTTTTTGATAAAAAAACAAATGTTTTAATTTAATAATAGTTTCACTTATCTTTTAAAATCGGGCACAATTTTATTAGATTTTTATTTAGAGTCACTGTCTCAATTGATTTAATTAAATTTGTGATCACTGTATCCATTTGTTAATAAAAAAAACATTAAAAGTTGCGGAGTGATTTATTTTGCGCGCAGTTCATGTGGTTCCTTAAGTGCGGTGCAGACTATCATACTAGTATGTCATACGAGAGAGAAAAATGTTGTGTGACACACAGGTATGATAGTCTGCACCTCTCACCAACATGTTGGCGTGCTAACCAAAATTTTGGTGAGCAGCTCTCGCCAACGAGTTGTGTATGTCACCCCAAACGATTCATACGTCATACAAGAGCATTTTTACCTTACAAATTTATTGTAAGCAGGCGATATATGTAGAATTGTAATATAAATTTAATACGTTTTTTATTATTAATGTATTTATTATTATTATTAAAATTACACTTATAAATTTGTATTAAATATTTAATTGTATTTTAGTTAAAAAAAAATAAAAAATTTTACATAAAATTCTTATAAAAAATTAAAATACAATCAAATATTTTATTTAATATATTTATTATTTTATTTAATTTTATTTTAATTTATAAACGATGATTATAAATAGTTTGTTATTTCAAAAAACATCTAAATACAAACATCGTTAAATTAACGATCTAAGCCCAGTAATTAAAAAACGTATACAAAATTGGTCGTAATAACAATTAATGAATAACCTAAATTTAAGATACAATACTCTGTATTCTAAATATGCTTTTCTTTGTTAAAACTTGTAATTAAAATAAAAGAATTTTAAATGTTAATAACCTTGAATTAACAAAAATATGGAAATGATCAAATTTCTTGAAAAACAATGAAAATATATACATTCTTTTATTATTTGTATGGTATATTTACGGTTCTTTACTGATTTTTTCATTTTAACCATTGTACTTAATGACCTTTTTACTTTTTACAATTAAAGCAAAGATATATGAATTTTTTATTTAGTATTAATATTAATAAACCAATGAACCTAAAAAAAATGAATATGGAGGCAAATAAAATATTTTTAGATGCTTTTATCAAAGGTTAACAAAAATAATCGCTGTTTGTGGGATGTCCAAAGCTGTGAATATAAAGATATTTAACACTTGTTGCGTAAGGAAATTGTTATTGTCATTCAAGTTGCGCTGTCTGTTGCTCAAATTTATTCTAGTGTCATTCAAGAAAAATTTTTGAAGATAAGGGTGTTTGCGCACGCTATAAGTGTGTTTCGCATGCTGTAAGTGTGTTAGTGCAACCACGCAAAAATATGCTCTTGAATGACAAATGCAAGTTTTTGGGTAACATACTATCATTAACAACATGTTGGGGAAAAGCTGAAAGATGTACTCACCAAAATTTTGGTGAATACGCTAACATGTTAGTTGCGTGTCATTCAAAGATGCAGACTATCATTTTTGAGTATCATTCATGGATTTTCTTACTTGAATGACACTCAAAAAACATAGACTGCACCGTAGTAAGTAGTATTGTAGTATAGTAATTTATAGCATAGTTAGTAGTGATCAAGTACGGTTAAATTACTTTAATTGAAAGAACATGCTAAGAATTGATTTATTATACATTATTTGTAATTATACATACATTCATTTGAGCTTTATTTTTTGTAATGTGTACTTACAAAAGTGGTGAACATGTAGTGGTAACGGTAATCATTCATTTGTAGTTGCAGAATCTGTAATATGAACAAATACAAAAGTTTTTTAATTAACATAATCATAACACTAATTATATACAATAAATGCAAACAAAAATTAGTACTTGAAAAAGTTTTAGTCTAACATCCTACAGGGTCGTACCAAATTACATAGATTATTTGCTCTTTTTGCTTTGACACACTAAGTCGTTGGGCGTGAATAATTATAATATATTTTTGTTTAATATACATGTTAGAATGTTAGATTGATATTCACAGATGATCACAGGTGGTCAAGCTATATAATATTAGTCAATTATCAATTAATTGCAATTTTTAAATACAATCATATAAATTCATATATGTATAAGATTTTAAACTGTGGTTCACTCCAGTAAACACTGGGGTTTTCACTATCCCAATTAAGGAAAATTTTTTAACATCATCCTAATTGTTGTTGGGTCGGAACAGAAATAATTTTTGGTTTAATAGTCGAAATATTCAGGCTGATTGGGTTCACTGCAGTGCGAAACATGATAGTATGTAGATAATAATCCCCGCTCCAATATTTTTATTGCAATCAAGAAAAGGGTTAGTCTTCTGATCAATTACCACGAAATCAGATTGATCGCTTTCTGATTTACGTAAGACAAGTCAAGGTACGAATGCGATTTTGTGCCACGAACAACATACGTTTTAGTTTGGGAAATATTATAATATTTTTGCAGAAAATCTAACTTGAACGGCTAATACAGTGATGGGATGCCTAGTGAAGTTGCTAGTTAATTTGAACTCTTGTATTTTTGTCGAAATTTTGGCTCATATTGTTTTTTAGTTACCTCTCTATATATATGATCTAGTTATATTATTGGCACACGTGATAATTAACAAATATAATTTTGTTCATTATTTTATGTATATTGATCGTGGGTGGAAATAAATGTTGTTTCAACTTTGTTAAACCAGAATAACTGTATACGCCTCTTGCAAATAACGTTTAGAAATTTTGAGAAAATTGAGACTTTCATCAGAGGTTGCTAAAACGTAGCAGTTATTTCTTTTAACTTGATGACTAATCCACAATGATTGATGTGAATTAGGCGAAACAGAACTGGTTTCACGTCATCGTATTACATTATTTTCAGCTTTTCTTGCATTTCTTGCATATTGTAATACGTAAATTCTTAACCGATTTACTGTTTCCACCACAGCAAAAGCTTTAAGCTCATAGCTATGATATTTAGTATCAGCAAGTTTTATGTCTAAAAAATTGTGCTGATCGGTTTATCATGTTACTATTAATACTATTTTATTTTTAATAATGCGGTATTTAAGTCAAAAATGATAAGCAGCTCTCGTGAGAGTACTTGAAAGCCTCAATATGAACAGAAAATGAGATTTTTATGTGAATCACAGAATCTTGTATTGAAACTGTCTGTGCTGCAAAAGACTATGTTGGGGGTCATCGCTCACCATTGAAGTTTTTGGATAGCGAATAAAGGTGCAAAGTCTATCATGCTAAAGTGTGAAAGATGGTACAAAGCCTTTTAGTGAGAGAGACCAATCATAGTGAGCCCTAAGGTTACCAGATGTAAAATAACTTTGATTTCTCGTATTGGGCGTCATTTCCTACTGTTGACTCAATAAAATATAATTTTAAATAAAAAGTAAACCATTCTGAAAAATAATAGTTCCTTTCATAAAATGAAACAATGAGGTGAAAATTTGTGTATGATCGTTCTGTTGAAAATCAGTTGAACTCTTTTAACAAACTTTTTAATATTTGTTAACCCATCACTATCGAATTTATAAAATAAAAAATAAAATTTTTGTGTAACATATCACTGTCAAAAGTTTCCATTTCGTGTTAATTTCACTGTACTTAAAAATGTTTATTGTTGATTATAAAACTCTGTATGAAAATTACTTAAGCTCCGACAAAGTCAGACTAAAATATTTCATTCTTCACATACCGCTCGAAAGAATTCCTTTATATGTTTAGCACTAGTATCAACTATTATTTTATAGATCTCCTTTTGTCGGATAGCTCGAAGAACTTGCCGATATGAAGACAAGGTAGAACTGACTTGTCGAATATACATTTCCGTTCGCATATCTGCTGTCGTATACATAAGATCCTGTTGTTTAAATAGACCTAAAATATAAAAAAAAATTTTATGAGAAACAGTCCAATAAGATAAACGTAAATAAATACGAAGTAAATAAAAATGTTTTACCTAACGATGTTAGTTAGGCCATAATAATCTTAAGTGACAAAAACTATTTCTAACACTTCTATTGAAGAAAATTTTTTTAATAAACTTACCATAATCCTCCTCATATATTATTGCAACTTTTGTCCAATTCAAGTATACCATTAAATCCCTATAAGCCAAATTCATATGATGTTGCGAAGGATACAAATTTATGGAAAATTCTTTAATACTCCTATCCAAATCAATTCGAATCTCGACATGAGGTACATCAAAAGTTTCGCATATGGATTGTATATGGCTTGCTAATAATGGATTGGAAGGACCAAATATCGACTGCACGCCAGTCTCTAATTGCCGGCATACTCTTTTTGTTGTACGAAATGTGTCATCCCGTGGTACATATTCAATATCATATACAAGTTGTGTGTTCATTAGAATCGCCTTATCCTTGTTGATGCGATAAATTGCATACTTGAACGACGACTCAATTTTACTGTTGCGCTGATCCTCGGTGAATATAGCACCTAAAACAATTGTCCATTATATTTGCTTTAAGTTTAAATATTAACTTACCTAATCGAATCACTGGGGGCAAAGCAGTTCCAAAAACAATCCAGTACAAAAGAATTATAACTGATAAAGATACCTTACATCGATTCACGTGAAACAGATGCATACATACTTTAACTGTTGTATAAACTATCTGGTGCATTTTATCATTAAACTATGTATATTATTTCTTTAACTATTTATTCATGTTTATTGCTTTAAGTAGCACTTCTTTCTTATTATGAATTCATTGCGAGTACGGAAGTCTGTGAAATATGTTTTTATATTTACCAAAGGAAAGAATATTATAAAGCCAAATATACAAAAAATTTTAGAAATGAATTATGAGTTTTGGCTCCAATATATACTGATAATAACTGCCGAAAATCGTGCAAACTATTCAATCTTTGTGAAGATTTTATTAACAATAAACAACACTAATTAATTTGTATTTAGGTTCAAGAAATAAATTGAGTAGTTAAATATTATAAAATTATTTCATTATCTAAAACTTATTTGTTTTGAGGCAGTGCGACTGCGCAAACAGAGAGCACAAGAAATAGAGCAACTGTAAAGTTTCTCTGTTAAAGAAAAAAGCTTGAAACATGCATTATATACCTATTCGTATGTCTTTCTTTGCATTTTGCCTCATTATAGATTGCTAGATTACACAAAACTAAATTTGCTTAGTTCTGCGTGTCTGACCACAACAAATTATTGAATAACTGAATATGAATTACTTTCATAGAAGAAGCTTGACGTAAACATACAAAGCTTTTGAGTTGTTCACATGACGTTTAGTATAGACGATTATTTCACGGTTGCCTGATTCTTTGTGACAATTTGGTTTAGCTTGCTTTCACATTAAGCTTTATACAGTGAAGTCCTTATATGTGTATCCGTTCTCAGCTAGTCACTGCAGGTTCGCTGTTCTAACTATTAATTGAGAATACTAAGCAACTTTCATACAAAGCAACTTTGCAGGATTATAAATTTACGAACACAATTATATTATTATATTGGATTGTATAATATAAACAAATACGAATTCAATAAGTATATGTTTACATATATAAATACATATGTGGTTATTGATGCTGAGTATGTTATAGATTTCACTGAAATATAGCAGAATATTGCAAGAGAATATGTAAATATGAATAGAGTCGGTTAAAAGTTGAAATAATATACACCGACAATTATGTAAGTCCTTCAGCTAAGTGGTGGACGTAGCGAACATACATACGCTTATATAAATAAGTATGTGTCAACGATTGATTATGCACTTAACTTTACTAATGTACAAATTATTGATATTTGACCGAAAGCCCCTCATACAATATTTATTTCAGTATTTTCTAGGCTGTCATTTGAACACAAAGAGCATGTTAAAACAGTGCTATTAACTAAATAAGATTTCTTTAATATTTTTTACAAGAGTATGAATATATTTTATATTAAAAAAACTAAATTATTTAACACATAACTATTAATATTATGCAATATATCACCTACAAATTTGATTAAAATAATGGCGGAAAACGTTCGCGTTGTGGTTCGTTGTAGGCCATTGAATTCCAAAGAGCATGATTTGAAGTGTACAGTAAGTATATTCGCTCTAATATTAAATTATTCAAAATTAGTACAAATTTTATTTCTTACTTTAAGTAATATACTTAACTCGCTTGAAGAATATTTAGTTACAGATGCAGTATATAATGCACTAGCCGCAAAACGTCCCATAAAGTGTTTCCTACACGATCACTAAAGATTTGCGCAATTTGTAATTTCCTTCAAATATTTATACCTATTACTGTGAATATAGTTTTTGTGAATCTAAAAAAAACTAAATGGGCTTTCACTGAACCAATGCATAGCGACTATAGAGGCTATTTTGCAGGCAGTCAGCCTTCCGTATGAAAGCCAGCATGTTTCTTGCAGTCCTGCATGAAGTTCTCCGCCAGGATTATACTCCAAATTTAAGTTAAGTCAAAAGAAACAACATTTAATTACCTCAAGACTTGTTGATGTAATATATCATCTTTTGATGTTCTGTCTAGAAATTTGAAGTTCAACTCAGTAACCTATTAAAAAATAATGTTTTGATCCAATATACATATATCACAACATCAGACAGGGCAAATTATTTTGGGGTAGGTCTAATATCAAAAGCCTTGTGTATAACAAGCCTCAAGTCCCACAAGCATTTCTATAACATAATGTCTGATATTTCAATTTTATTATCTCAAATACAGTTGATTATTTCTTTTAAAACAGTATTTTTTTATTTAAAATTTTAAAATAATCAAACTCCACTTTGACCGTAACGAGAAGAAATTGATAAACAAAATTTATTTTTTATACTTCGGCGTACGTGTTGAATACAAGTAATCTTACCACGACAAAATTAAATTGCTCTCTTCTGGGGTTGCAGTATTATATTTTGTTGCTACTTGTTAATCATGTGTTTAAATCTTAGTAATGTAAAATACTCGGGACTTGTGTTCTTACATTATATAAATGTTGAATTTGCGATTCCAACACTGGTGTATGAAGCGTTTACTGAACTTATATGCTTTTTCATAGATATCTTGTCTTCAACGATTTGAAATTAATTTGTAGTAGTCTGCTTCCATAAAAATGGATTCTTGAAGCGCTTTATTAACTTGTATTATGTATTGAGTATACTTGAGAAATGCATGAGCAATCTTTTTTGTTATATTTCTTTCTGAGAATTAAGTTAATTTTGCTTGATATTTATCCTGTAGTTGATATTCGATACTTGAGAAATTCAAAAGGGGGATTGATTGTATACCGATTGTGTCAAATGCTTTTCTTGTTTTGAATTTTTGTAGTAACTAAATTTGTTGAACAATAGTGCGTTCAGTTTCTATTAATATAATTCACCATTCTTGGCGAAAATGTATTACGGGACAAGAATGAAACCGACTAATATTTATAGACTTTTATAGGTTTATGAAATTAGACCCACAGACCATTAATATAGCGGTAGATTGTCATTTTTTAGCAATCACGTATTCCATCTTCTCCAGAACTTTTGTTCGCGATACAATATTCCCTTTGGTCACCAAGCATTCTTCCGTTACTTTTGTAGTTGCATCTATTGAGCCTATAAGAGTTTCACAAGTAAAGACATTACCTGGTATGACTGCTTCTAATTTATTTAGGTTGACATTAGGTTAGTTGTAGGTCTAGAGTTAAAAATGGCTTTTATTTTCATAACGCCAGTTTTCAACTCCTTATACATAAAAGTTACTTTGATTGATGAGATAAGTCCGTTATTAACTGGTGTTACTTGCAACTGTTCTAGAGTGAATGATTTTCTTGAGTGGGCTAACTTTTCTAGTGGATAATGGAATTAAAAATAATTAAATGTAAAGTCTTCATTAATTGTCGGAAGAATCCACTTCGTATTTTACATCATAGGGTTAAGAAACGAAGAAGCTACGCAGATTCCTCCGAATTTTTTTTTTTTTTTTTTTTTTTTATTTATATTTAAACAAAATGAAGAGTTTAAATTTACAACAACTAGTCATATTGACTAACAAGAGGTTTTTTTTATTACAAGTAAGTTTATCTTAGTCTATCTAGGGTGAGCATATAGATACGAACTAGTCATCTCCTTGCTGGTTGAAACGCCTCAAAAGGTCATTAGGTTTGAAGCGGCATAAGCATCTGTGAGTGACATCACAAAGTAGCGCTGGAATGGTGCTGTTTAAGTGTTGTCTCAGCCTGTCATAGTGTTTTTTAGCAGCCTTCTGAATTTCTTGCTTGACAGTAGGTATTTCAAGGTCACGATGTAGATCAGAATTTCGCACGTACCACAGAGCGTTAACTGCATCCCTGATTGCTTTGTTTTGAAATCTTTGCATCATATCTATTATATGTTTTTTCGCACAACCCCAGATTTGGACACCATAGAGCCAGACCGGCTTGAAGACTTGTTTATAGATCAGAAGCTTGTTTTGCTGAGATAATTTAGATAATTTAGATAATCATTTAGGGACATGATTTAATTTTATACTCGCATTAAATATCTGTGCAAATTTGGCTACTCCTTTTGGAGGTAGCTTTTTCAACACTTCACTAGTTATGAGGTCATATCCTGGTGATTTCTTTAATTTCAATTTTTTGATTTCCCCAGTTACTTCTTTATTTTTTATCCGCAAAATAGCTTCATCATCTATGTTGTTATTTGGCTCTATATGATGGGTTTCTTCTTGATTGAAGGTATTACTTAAATATTCAGCCAAAATGTGTGCCTTTTCAATGTTGCTTTTCGCCCATTCATTATTATCTTTTTTTAATGGAGGATTATGAGTGATCGGTCTTTTATATTTTTTCATAGCTTTCCAGAGAGAATAGTTAGTTTTGCTATCATATGTTAAGTTTGTAAGATATTTCTTAACATTTTCATTTTTAAAATTACTGATTTCTCTTCTTAATTTTTGAGTGGCATTATTAAGGTTTCTTTTATCTTGCATTAATCGTGATTGTTGCCATTTTTTACGTAGTTTTCTTTTATTATAGACTAGATTTAAAATTTCAACCGGATAGTTTTTATCAAATTGCTTACTATTCTGCAGTGGAGAACTGCGTCATGCCGATTTTTGAATCAAGCTTGTAAAGCAATGCGTTTCACTCTCTATGTCATTTATACTTCGTATTTTGCAGGATAGGTCAATATTTTCATTTATCTGGGCCTTAAAATAATTCCAGTCTGTTAAACGGTTTGTTAGTGTCGGTTTAGGTAGCGTAGATAGAATATTACATCCATAAGTAAGCAACATTGGAGAATGGTCAGAATTTAAGTCAAGTCCTGTTTTAACTTCAATGTCTCTTTTTTGAATTTTATTTACAATAAAGATATCAATGACATCTGGTAATTTATTCCTCCGAAATGAATTTTATAATAATATTCTGGAAATACGGACAATCCAGCTAGGGACCTGGAAGGTTTCACGACTTTATTACGGTTAAGATTGACCAGAGCATCTCTACAATCTGAATATTGTTACCTGTGTTTTTGCTCAGTTGAGTTCGTTTAGAATGATTTATAAATCGCAGAACATATCCGTTAAATTTTATAAACCCAACCGGTATCACATGTTGTCTTAATTCATGCAGTCTTCCCTAATGTTTGTCAAAATTTGAGCAAATTATTTAAATTTGAAGTGTCATAAATGCCTTATCACTTTTTATTTTTTTGTAACCAATCGGCAGTTATATATTTTATATTATAGAACCATGGAAAATCGGTTTTCTAAAAAGTGATGCAATTTTCTTAATGAGAGATATCTTTTCTATAATACATTCCTTTGATGTATCAATGAGTAATTTGTTAACAATGATATATCCTGCAGATATATTTAGTTGATATCAATTTAAGTCTAATAGATTCTTCCTTTGATATATCCTTCACTCTTTTTATATATTAAGAGGTGATTTATGAATAATGATATTTGTTAGATACCAATCTGTATAATAGATATGATGGCAATCATATGTTCTCCTTAAAATTTCATGTGATTTTGTAATTATCTGATGATTTTGGTGTTTTATAAGATTTTTGAGAAAAATAGAACGTAAATAAAATGGTTTCTAAATTATCGAAGTTAAACAGACTTTAGTTAGCTGCCTTCAGAGGTAGGTAGATTAATTTAAGGCAGCCTGATAGACTGATATGATACTACCGATTGAGATTGTATAAAATATAGCTTCTGTTCTGATTTCTTGGTTTACTAAACGTAAATTTGCTTTAAGATAAATTCAAGTGTCTTACATTTTATCTTCTAACTAAATAAATAAATACGTACTAATTTTTTTAATTTAGTAAACTATATAGATTTTATTAGGCGTTTTCTTTTGTAAGCATATAACAAAAGAACTAATAAAATAAGCACTACTTTCGACGACAATTCTCGACAAAATGGCGATTTTACTCAGCTTATATGGGCAATAAATGTGTAATAAAATTTGAAGTTGACATTTCGAAAATGAATAATAATTCTTCGCAATTATTGATGATAATATTTTTTTTACATGATTATAAATAAAATATAATTTTTCATATCTTTTAACAGTAAAATAATAAATAAAAAAAATAATGTATTTGTTACGAACAATGACGACACGAAATACGAATAATTATCGAAATCATTCGTTGACAGATAACTGGAAATTTCGTATGTACTTCCAAAAATCGTTCACAATAGACAAATTTTTAGTGTTGGCAACCATGTGATTTGAGCTGCTTATTAGTTAAGAGATTTTAAAAAGGATGGACTAAATAAGCCAACTGTGTTGCTGTTTCATATGTTATTTTTAAATTAAGCGGTTGTTCTTTTGTGATATGCTTACAAAAGAAAAGGCCTATTGTTGATTGAAATGTAGGCAATGAGAGCAAAAAATCGGTAAAGGAAATTTATAAACTACATAACACATGTTAAGTAAGATTTTATAATAATACTAATTAGTTAATAAAACATTTTGTTGTTAAAATACAAAAATACATTAAAATACAAATACAATATTGTTTTATTATTCTGAAAACATCACCGAGCGTATAGAATCTTATTACTG